CTTGGGATTCCCGTCTGACCATCACCTTTCCGTATTAGTTCTTGATCCTTTTCATTCATCTAGCCCCTACCTTGGTCATCTTCTGTACCACAGACCCAAACATCTATACTTTTCCTCTTTTCTGGAGGGGCTTCACTCGCTGTGCTCTCTGGAGGGCATGCTCACGTCCACTCCTCCTTTGCTGCGGACCCTTCCTCAGGCCACTGGGGATACTCATGCCTTGTAGGTGGAGGTGAGATGTCTACCGGCAGATGTGTTAACTGTTCAGTGGCTTACAGGGGAGAAGAAGAGACTCTTTCCTTACCACTAGGACTGGAGACCAGACAGAGAGCATATCCTGAGATCTAAAGTTAGAAATGAGTGCATTTCTCATAGAAACATTGCTATAGATTGATGTCAGTTTCCCCGTGTGTGTGTGTGTGTGTGTGTGTGTGTGTGTGTGTGTATTTAACTTGAGTGTTTTATTTCCCAGTGTATTATAAGTTAAACAGTTTTTAATTGGCTAAAATAGACCTAACAACTATTTGCAATCTTGTCATTATGAGACCATGCTTTTGGAAGTCAAAATACCAACCGATAGACCTACTTTTGGAGCTGATAAACTTCCTAAAATAGAGTTTAAAAACCACAATATTAACTGCTGATAATTATTTTCATGGTCATATGAAACTCTCAGAGAAAAAAATGATTCTGTGCTTTGATGTAAATGAATGTGATCAACGTTCCTAACCTCATACAAATATAACGTTTATTTTAATATTTTTCTTCTTTAAAAGCTTTGGCCACAGTAGAAGACTTCCAGATTCGTCCACATACTCTCTATGTACATTCTTACAAAGCTCCTACTTTTTGTGATTATTGTGGTGAGATGCTCTGGGGATTGGTACGTCAGGGACTGAAATGTGAAGGTATGTGTTCTAGATTTTATATCATTGGAATAAGATTTCACATTTGCATTCTCTAATCATCAATGAAAGAACAAGCTCATTAGTTGGTGATGAGGGTAGTAACCCAGGTTTACAATTGGAGAGATCTGCCTGGACCAGCGGTTCTCAACCTTCCTAATGCGGCGACCCCTTAATACAGTTGCTCATGTTGTGGTGACCCCCAACCATAAAATTATTTTCGTTGCTACTCTATAACTGTAATTTTGCTACTGTTATGAATCGTAATGTAAATATCTTTTTGTTTTCCGATTGTCTTAGGCGACCCCTGTGAGAGGGTCGTTCGACCCCCAAAGGGGTCGCTACCCACAGGCTGAGAACCGCTGGCCTAGACTCTTCTTTCCTTTGCCACTTACTAGGTCATATTGTTGGGGAGCTTACTAAACCTCTGAGGATCCTTTTCTTTGTCTATAAAATGTACTGTACTCCACTCATTTCATAAAGAATAAATGGTTACATGAGGTAATATGGGTAAAATACTTGGCACAAAATAGTGGCTTAGTAAATATTAACTTCCTTTTTATCTTTTTGAAAGGTTATTTTTTTACATGTGACAACAAAGTCGTTCTGAATTAGAATTGATAGGGAATAGGATGCAGGTCCACATTTCTGTTTAAGAAACTCTAAGGTGAAGGGTCAATAAAATTTTTCTGCGAATATTTCAAGTTTTGCTGGCCATACGGTCTCTGTCTCAACTACTTAACTCTGCTGTTCAGCGAGAAAGTAGCCGCAGACAAAGATGTACACAAATGAGCATGCTGTGTTCCAATAAAATTCTTTATGAGCGCTGAAATTTGAATTTCATGTAATTTTCACATGTCTTGGGAAGGATTTGATAACACAGGACACGGTTTGCTGAAGTGCTTTAAGCTGGTAGTTCTCAGACTTGACTATGCATCAGAATCACCTTGAGGACTTGTTAAAACATACTTTTCTTGGCCCCATCCCAGAGTTTCTGATTCAGCAGGTCTGGAGTGGAGCCTAGTAATTTACATTTCTAACAAATTCTCTGGTGAAATTCTCCAGTGATACTACCACTTGGGGACCACACTTCAAGAACTGCCACTCTAGCTAACTTAACCTTTCTACACATTTCCTATTCTTCTTGACGTTGTTAGCTTCCATTTAGCCTGTCAGCTGGGTTCTGAATTAGGGTAACTATTGCTGCCAGAGGAAATAAATAAAACAAGCACCTGTTTTTTAGGTAACATCCTTATAAAGTTTTCTTAATCTATGTTTTTTAAACCTTTTAAAATCTATTTAGGCTGTGGATTAAATTATCATAAACGATGTGCCTTCAAGATTCCAAATAATTGTAGTGGAGTAAGAAAGAGGCGTCTGTCAAACGTATCTCTGCCAGGACCTGGCCTCTCAGTCCCAAGACCCCTCCAGACTGAATGTGTAGCCCTTCCCGCTGAAGAGGTATGTGTCCTAAGGTAATAGAAGGGCATGGTGCTAGTTTACTCCTTATCTTGTCCAGGATGTATGACATCATCCTAGAACATAAGTTATTTACTAAAGAATAGTCAGATTCCTATACTTAAGAAGCTTAAAATGTGTTAAAGGAGACAGGGCTTACCAATAGTAATGAATTACATTTTGTGTACTTGGGATCACCTCATCTCTTGGACCTCACTGCATTAGCCTCCTAACCAGTATCCCGACTCTTCACCTTACACACTACGCCCAGACCATCTTTTTACACTACAGCTTAGGACACGACTCCCCACCAGGAAACTGTTCTACATTCCCTTAATACACTTGCTTCCCCTACCATTGCTCTTGTCTATCCTGCATGTTTTTCCCAGACCTAGCTCAGTAGCTACCTTTCCTGATTTTCTCTGTACCTAGAAGTTATTTTATTTTCTGAATGCCACAGCACTTTTCAGATCTCCCTAATGATGTGTATAGTGTTTGTGTACTAGATTGCCCTTAAGGAGTTTATGATCTATTTAAAGAAAGCAATGCTCATGACTTTGCATCGCCCACATGCCCAGCCCAATACCTGGTACTTAGTAGGTAACTCACTGATGTTGAAATTTGTTTGTTTATTTATTTATTTATTTATTTATTTTGGCTGAGCCATCCTGCCACCTGTTGGCAGCTCAGCAGCAGCTCAGCTTGGGCCAGGAATTGAACCACTGTTGCTCAGAGCTCACACTCTTGAGCGAGCTCTTAACCAACTGAGCCACTGGGCCAGCCCTAGGTAACTCACTGATGAATGAATGAATGAGTAAATGATCCCACTGATCCTCACAGCATTCCCATGAGCTATGTCAGCAGATCTGTATACCATGAGATAGTTGAGACTCAGAATGGTCAAGTGACTTCACTGAAGTCACAGCGCAAATTAGTAAGTGATATTAGAATTAAATCCAGAGCTGATTATTTTTAAATCAGTGACTTTTTTCTAATATATTGTATACTTCAAGGGTAAAGATAGATCAGGGAAAAAAGAAATAACTTTTTTGTTCATTTGATAGTACCTAAAATGATTTCCCTCTGTAGATCACAATCTTACTATTTATATGTAGTTGCTTCTATAACCCCTTTGATCTTCTATAAATTAATGGCAAAATCAAGCTTTTGGACTATTTTCTTGATACCCTAGACACAAGAGTTTGCTAAACCAAGGCACCAGTGTAAAAGCTCCTGAAATTCTTTCACAAAAATCCCATATTGCTTAATCCTAGTGTGAGATTTTTAAAGTAGAAGATTGTTATGGCATAAGGAACTAAGAACAATGAGTTATTATAAACACATGCAAAAACTTGGGAAAGGATTGGTAACAGGAGAGTCAGTGCATTTTACACACAAACTGCACAGGAAAACTTACCTGGAAATGGGGACTGCAGGATCAAGATATGTTCTTCTAAGAGCCTCACAAATGATAATTGGTGTGCCAGCTACCCTCAGTTGGATATTACTAGATTAGGAAATAACAGGACAGAGCAGAATGAACCTTTTAATTCATTCGCTCATATTTTATCCTGAAGACAAAAATTCCTTAAGGAAGTATAAAAAGTAGAGTGACATGTTTGAAATGGTTAGATTGTGCAGAGTACTGTAGAACAAGTAGAAATTGTAGAGTGGAATGTCTGTCAAGAAGCATGCAGTTTCAAAAAGGAAAGAGCTCAGGGAAGAAAATCAGGGAAGAAAGTGGGAAAAGAGGACACTAAAGGAATGGAGGAGAAAATGAGGAGATGGGAATAACCTCAAATCTGAACCAAGGTTAGAGAGAAACTAACTCCCAAGTGGCTGCACAGTCAGAGCCTCCTAAATTCTCATGTGCCAGGCTTCATGTTGTGATTGCACACATGCTCTGTACCATCTCCCATAGACCGAGATCCCAAGCAGACGTGACAAAAGAGACAGTCACCAACTGGGCATTGGCATAGGAAGGCATCTGTTAGGAAAATTCTTCCATGTAGGGGTATCCTCTATACTTGATGACTGGCTAAATCAGTCTTATTCCATCTTGTATGTTTAAAACTTGAGATAAACTGAAAGTGGTAGAAGCAGGAGCAAGAAAGCAGAGTATTGAGTCACCACTAGGATAGGGAGCCAGGGATGAACAAAGCCTAAAACATCTGTTTCTGGTTCCCGCTGGCTTCTTTGTTAGCTTTGCAGAACCACTGTGGTGTTCGTTTTGCTGAAGGTGCTCCATGCATGGCAGCATGGGTGGTGAGCCAGACTAGGCAGGACACCTTGGAAGCTACGGCATACAAGTTTGGTTTGGGTTTTCACACTTATTTTGTGCTTTTCTTAAACTGCTTAATAATTTGTTTTAGAAATTTTTTAGCTAAACATTAGTGAAAAACTGTCCATCAGAGTCTATATTTGTGTTCTTTTTATAGTGCTCTCCTTTTCTTTTCTCTTCCTCCTTTCTACTCTTCAAAAAAAAAAACCTTTTATTTTCTCCTCCCTTCATTTCTCCCTTACACTTTTCTGTCTCTTGGTTTCTTTTAGCTTCTTTTCCTTCTGTTGGTTGAACATAACCAATCAATGTAGAATGACTCAACTTTTGTGAGTTACAGACATTACTAGTTATAGAAGGTGTGTGAAAGATCTGAGAACCTCAGTCCTAGCAGTGAAGATGCAAGCAGATACAACAAAATCTGTAATACATCTAGAAATTAGTTAGGTATTTGGATTCTGTGCTTCAGAACATGGACTGTATTAATTTTTGTATCCCCAATGCATAGTATTAGGCCTGGTCTATAGTAATCAGTGTATGTTGAATGAATGGGCTGAGCCACATTGAACTGGCATATAATTTAATGTTATTTCTTTTGTCTATATAGAAGGGGTCATAGTTACAAAAATCTACTTATCCCTCAGGTTTATACAGATTTTTTAATCAATGCCTTCTTTAATTTTCTTTTTTGCTCAAAAAAAAGGAAAAGTCTAAATAACTGGAAAATACTTAAAATATCAAGAAACTTCTTAAAGCATAATTACTAGAGGTCAAGTTATTTCACTTAATTTTGTATTTGCCATTTATATCATTATATGTCAATTTTTACATATATATTTTAGTATTTGTTAAAATATATATGAAAAACTAATACTTGTTTTGAAGTATTTTCAGACACTGTTCAGTAATTTAACATGAACAGCAGTAACACTTTCTGAATTTATTTACTTTTCCTGTGATTAATTCCTTGGCAAGGTTTTTGAAGGGATTTGAACATCTGTTATAAATTGATTTTTATTTGAAAAATGTCATGTATGTCTGGCAAATAATAGTTAATCGGTGAATATATATGTATGTGAGGATTAAAATATCCTTTTTTAAAGCATGAATAGCAAAAAAAAATTTGTACTTTTCTCATTCAAGGCTTGGTAAGTTAAGCTTCCAAAGGAAATTGCTGAGATCCACATTTTTAGAGTTTTGGCTTTAGTGTTAGAAAAAAATGACTTTTGTGGTCAAGCCCTGCTCTTAATATTTTGTTTTTAATATTGATTTATACTTACGGAAATTACGTATGTTTTAGTCACATCTTCACCAAGAACCAAGTAAGAGAATTCCTTCTTGGAGTGGTCGCCCAATCTGGATGGAAAAGATGGTAATGTGCCGAGTAAAAGTTCCACACACATTCGCGGTTCACTCTTACACCCGTCCCACAATATGTCAGTACTGCAAGCGGTTACTGAAAGGCCTCTTCCGCCAAGGAATGCAGTGTAAAGGTAGGATTGGATGTTTTTCCGAAGTAAAATTCGTATCTGTTTTTGTTAGCAAATATAGGTTTAAAATATATTTTAGAAGCATTAAGCAGAGAAATTGGTCTCATAGTTAACTTAAAAAGGAAAGAAGATACTCACATACACACACATATATTTATTAGCAATTACTACTGTCTGCAATATGTGTACTAGTACCAGGAACTATGCTAAAGAAAAATTAGAATGTAAAAGGAAAAACTAGAATTTGTTTCTCTGAGGTATGGCTGCTTAATATTTGCCAATACGGAACAATTAGTAAGCAGATAAGCAGATATTTGAGCTTACATCTTTCTGATTCCAAAGATACACATTACCCAAGATATAAAATAATGCTTTCCTCTTTCCAGTAAATATTCACACACACACACACACACACACACACACACACACTCATACACTCATACACTCATACACTCACACTATAAGAGTTTTCTTGTTTTTGTTTTTAATTATGTAGCTAGGAAATTTGTATAAAAACTGTCATTCTAGAGGATAATCACACTTAATTAGGTAGACTATAGTAGAAGCCACTAGAATTATAATGGGACCACCCATATTTGGATACTAACCCAAAACTCTGTCATAGTATTCCAAAAAACATCTCTTAATGAACCAGGTTTTTAATAGAATAATGGAATAACTTTTTCCTATAGTTATATAATGTTTTTATGCTTTTAAAAGATGATTCTTTTTTATCTCATAGCTTTGCCTTAGTAATGCTGTACAATAGAGTGAAAACCAAAATAGAGTTTAATTGTGTTATTAGTCATTGAACCAGGATATGATAGGCAGTCTGTGTATAATCTTATGTGTTTATTTTTCATGTGATTATTTTAACAGTTCTTGGTACCATACTTTTTTATATAGAAGTATTTGTGGAATTGAATTTTTTTAGTTTTATCTAAATAAAACATTAGGATTGAGGTCTTTGCAACAATAAATCCTGTTTACAATATAAAATCAAATAATTGTATATAAATTTAACTGAAGTCTGTAAGAAAAGGAAACTTTTCTTGGTAATATATGGCAACGTAGGGGAACATCAAATAGAGAACAGGTTGTACGTTTGTTGTCAAGTATTTAATAACCATCAGGCAGGCATAATTACATGTTGAAATTTTATTTCAACACCTTACTTTTGAATATGAGTTAATATATGTTAATACTGTAACATATCAACACTAAAGTGTATTGGCAAGCAGCCACTAAGGAATGTTTTGGGAAAGAACATTAATAACAGATGTATAAATTCTAGCCAACAGATAATCTTAGTAAAGGTAGTAAAATAATGCTGCTCTGCTGAGCAGAACAGAAACATTCTAAAACCATATGCAGAAAAGTACAATATTTTGTAGAGGAACTAAAATAAATATGTAGGTTAATGAATTTTGAAATAAAACTAGTTAACTGTCACTGGGTTATTACATTAACTTCTTAGAGCTCAAAGAAGAATGTTTTGTGCTTGTTTTTGTTCAGAAAGTAGGTTACACTCTATAAGTTATTTTGGTTGTCAATCAGCAACAACCAGAATTTACTTCAGTGATTCCTGTATTTTTATAATATGAACTACAATACTTAAAAAGTAAAATAGTCATTTTCATTCTTTTTAGGCTAAGAAACAAAAAATTTAGTTAAGATAAAATAGTTATGCTAGATTATTTGAGAACAAATAATTCCGAGAACAGCTACATATTTATTCATTCATCTGTTTATTTTTTTACTTTGTTATATTAAAACTTCAAGGCAACTTGAGAGTGTATATAAAATATAAGGAAGCATAAACAAGCTGGCCAAGTGGCTCAGTTGGTTAAGAGCTCGCTCAAGAGTGCGATCTCTGAGCAACAGGGTCGCTGGTTCAATTCCCGGCCTGAGCTGAGCTGCCGCTGAGCTGCTGCTCAGCTAAAAAAAAAATAAAAATAAAAAAGAAAGCATAAACAAATTAATAACACAGGATGGAATACAGAGAAGTAAAATGCCTGCCATTAGAACCTACATACTTGCTGCAGCTGGCCCACAAATTTGGCTCTATATTTTCAAAGAGAAAATGGAAACCTTGTTATTGTCACAATTTGTAAACCTTATGAGTTAAAAACCATAAGGTATATGCAATATATGAATATGCATGAGTTTCCTCACGGTCTCTCATTAAAAAAGACAGTGTTATATGATGCAAGTTTTATCATCCACCAAATTTTTACTTTCATGGAGCCTTTTAAGTCAGGACTTGCAATTAGTTTTTACCCAGTTATTGCTGGTGGTGTTAGATAGTAGTTACAGCAGTGGGTCTCAATTTTAGTGTCACCTACTAGGTTATTAAAACACTCATTTCGGGCTGGCCAAGTGGCGCATTGGTTAAGAGTTGGCTGGGGACGCCAGCTGTGAGCAGCAGGGCCCCAGTTCGGATCCCACATGAGGGCCAGTGACGCTGTGCCCTCTACAGCTAAGATGGTGAACAAAAGCTCGACCTGGAGCTGAGCTGCTGGGAGTCGCCGGTGATGGTGTAGGCTGCAGTGGGATTGGCTGGCAGCTGGTGTGAGCTTTCGTGAGCTGCCGTCTGATGGCTGATGAGCAACTGCCTCACCTGGGAAGAGCGCAATGATAATACCAACATGGGCCAGTGAAGTGACGTCCTCCACGACTAGACTGAATAACAAAAGGACAGCAACTTGTCTGTTCCCCTTCCCCAATTCCCCAACGCTGTTCCCCTCACCCAGTTCCCCAATAAAGTCTTTTAAAAACCCCAAACAAAACAAAACAAACAAACAAAAAACCACACACATTTCTCAGCCCCACTCTGAGAGCTGCCTGTGTAAGTAGTTCTGGGGTGGGACCCAAGAATTTGCATTTCTACAGGTTTTCAGATGATGCTGATGCTGCTGGTCTGGGGACCATAGTTTAAGAGCCACTGAGTTACAGAGTAGTATTAAACAGCTTGCACCTGACACTGATCTGCAATGTTACCAACTCGGAGGTTCTTGCAGGCGGAAAAGAACCATTATGTACAAGTGGGAGACCTTGTGCAGAAGCTCAATCCTTTCTTACAATGCTGTATGGGAAAGCCCTCACTAATTCCTAGTAACTGGGTATGGAATCTCAACCTCTTTTCTGCATATCCACTGGGCCCTAATAATTAGAAATTGAAAATAAGGGCCTGCCTGACATATGTTGGAAAGGAATTTAATTAGCCTGAGAAACTCTTCGGGGATATGTGGAAAGATGAATGTGAAGTAAGAGAAGGAAATATGAAGTTGCCAGCAACATTTTAGCTTCATTTTACAGATAAAGAAACTGAGCCCTGAGGAGTTAAAATAACTATTATGAGTTAGCATCAGAAGTTGAAACCAGGGCCGGCCGAGTGGCGCGATGGTTAAGAACTGGCTTGGGACGCCAGAGGGCCCCGGCTCGGATCCCACATATGAGGGCCAGTGACACTGCCCTCTACAGCTAAGATGCTGAACAACAGCTCAACCTGGAGCTGGG